CCTTCCCTCTCCCAGACTCCCTCCCCTTCAGTAACCATAGGTAAAGATTTTGAATATTTTGTTTTGTTCTAATTGAAATTGAAAAATAATTAAAATATAATAAAATGCACTTATCTTAGGTGTTTGATCTCTTTGCTTGATCTGATCTGACAGCAAACAAATCAAACAAGTCAGTCCTAAAGGAAATCAACTGTGAATACTCGTTGGAAAGACTGATGCTGAAGCTGAAGGTCCAATACTTTGGCCACCTGAGACAAAGAGCTGACTCATTGGGAACGACCCTGATGCTGGGAAAGACTGAAGGCAGAAGGAGAAGAGGGGATCAGAGGATGAGATGGTTGGACAGCATCACAGATGCAATGCACACGAGCATGGGCAAGTTCCAGGAGATGGTGAGGGACAGGAAAGCCTGGCATGCTACAGTCTGTGGAGTCACAAAGAGTCGGACATGACTTGGCGACTGAACAACAGGATCTTAAGTATTTAGCTTGATGAATTTGACAGTTATACATTCCTCTGTTATATCACATAAAATAAGATGAGTGATGTTTTTAAAGTGCTGCACTCAATATGGCAGCAAATTGGGAAAATTCAGCAGTAGCCACAGGACTGGATAATTTCAGTTTCATTCCAATCCCAAAGAAGGGCAATGTCAATCAAACTTTTGTCCAGTTGTGTTCATTTCACATTCTAGTAGGTTATGCTTCAAGCTAGGCTTCAGCAGTGTGCGAACTAACCACTTCCAGATGTAAAAGCTGGGTTTAGAAAAGGCAGAGGACAAAGAGATCTTATTTCTAGCATTCACTGATCATAAAGATTCCAAGGGGATTTCAGAAAAGCATCTACTTCTACTTCATTGACTCAACTAAAGCCTTTAACTGTATATAACAACAAACTGTGGAAAATTCTTAAAGAGATAGTAATACCAGACCACCTTGCCTGTCGCCTGAGTAACTTATATGCAGGTAAAGAGGTTCGTGACATTGTACAGGAGACAGGAATCAAGACCATCCTGAAGAAAAAGAAATGTAAAAAAAGCAAAATGGCTGTGTGAGGAGGCCTTACATATAGCTGAGAAAAGAAGAGAAATGTAAAGTAAAGAAGAAAAGGAAAGATATACCCATTTGAATGCAGTGTTCCAAAGAATAGCAAGGAGAGATAAGAAAGCCTTCCTCAGTGATCAGTGCAAAGAAACAGAGGAAAACAATAGAATGGGAAAGACTAGAGATCTCTTCAAGAAGCTTAGAGATACCAAGGGAACATTCATGCAAAGATAGGCTCCATAAAGGGCAGAAATGGTATGGACCTAAGAGAAGCAGGAGGTATTAAGAAGAGGTGGCAAGAATACACAGAAGAACTATACAAAAAAGGTCATCATGACCCAGATAATCAGGATGGTGTGATCACTCACCTAGAGCCAGACATCCTGGAATGTGAAGTTAAGTGGGCCTTAGGAAGCATCACTATGAACATAGCTAGTGGAGGTGATGGAATTCCAGTTGAGCTATTTCAATTCCGAAAAGATGATGCTGTGAAAGTGCTGCACTCAGTATGCCAGCAAATCTGGAAGACTCAGCAGTAGCCACAGGACTGGAGAAGGTCAGTTTTCATTCCAATCCCAAAGAAAGGTAATGCCAAAGAATGCTCAAAATACCTCTCAATTGCACTCATCTCACATGCTAGTAAATAATGCTCAAAATTCTCTAAGCCCGGCTTCAACAATATGTGAACTGTGAACTTCCAGATGTTAAAACTGGTTTTAGAAAAGGCAGAAGAACCAGAGGTCAAATTGTCAACATCCACTGGATCATTGCAAAAGCAAGAGTTCCAGAAAAACATCTATATCTGCTTTATTGACTATGCCAAAGGTTTTGACTGTGTGAATCACAATAAACTGTGGAAAAATCTGAAAGAGATTGGAATACGAGACCACCTGACCTGCCTCTTGAGAAATCTGTATGCAGATCAGAAAGCAACAGTTAGAACTGGACATGGGACAGCAGTCTGGTTCTAAATTGGGAAAGGAATACGTCAAGGGTTATTCAGCTTACAGGCAGAGTACATCATGAGAAATGCTGGGCTGAATGAAACCCAAGCTGAAATCAAGATTGCCGGGAGAAATATCAATAACCTCAGATATGCAGATGACACCACCCTTATGGCAGAAAGTGAAGAGGAACTAAAGAGCCGAGTGAAAAAGTTGGCCTAAAGCTCAACATCAGAAAACTAAGATCATGGCATCTGGTCCCATCATTTCATGTGAAATAGATGGGGAAACAGTGGCTGACTTTATTTTTTTGGTCGCCAAAATCACTGCAGATGGTGACTGCAGCCATGAAATTAAAAGATGCTTATTCCTTGGAAGAAAAGTTATGATCAACGCAGACAACATATTAAAAAGCAGAGACATTACTTTGCCAACAAAGGTCCATCTAGTCAAGTCTATTGTTTTTCCAGTAGTCATGTATGGATATAAGAGTTGGACTATAAAGAAATCTAAGCACCACAGAATTGATACTTTTGAGCTGTGGTGTTGGAGAAGACTCTTAAGAGTCCCTTGAACTACAAGGAGATCCAACCAGTCCATCCTAATGGAAATCAGTCCTGAATGTTCGATGGAAGGATTGATGTTGAAGCTGAAACTCCAATACTTTGGCCACCTGATACAAAGAACTGACTCATTTGAAAATATCCTGGTGCTGGGAAAGATTGAAGGTGGGAGGAAAAGGGCACGACGGAGAATGAGATGGCTGGATGGCATCACTGACTCAATGGACATGAGTTTGGGTAAACTCCAGGAATTTGTGATGGACAGGGAGGCCTGGCGTGCTGCAGTCCATGGGGTTGCAAAGAGTTGGACATGACTGAGCGACTGAACTGAACTGAACTGGAAGAAGCAACAGTTAGAACTGAACATGGAACAACAGATGGGTTCAAAATTGGGAAAGGAGTACAACAAGCCTGTATATTTTTGCTCTGCTTATTTAACTTCTCTGTAGAATATATCATGTGAAATATTGGACTGGATAGAATTAAAATTGCCAGGAGAAATATCAACAACCTCAGATATCATATATTACTATCTAATGGCAGAAATCGAGGAGGACCTAAAGAATCTCTTGATGAGGATGAAAGAGGAGAATGAAACAGCTAGTTTGAAACTCAGCATTAAAAAACTAAAATCATGGCATGTGGTCCCATCACTTCATGGCAAATAGAAGGGGAAACTTTAAGCAGTGACAGACTCTATTTTCTTTTGCTCCAAAATCACTGCAGATAGTGTCTGCAGCCATGAAATTAAAAGATGCTTACTCCTTGGAAGGCAAGCAATGACAAAGCTAGACATCAGAGACATCAGTTTGCAGATGAAAATCCGTACAGTCAAAGCTGTTTCTTCCAGTAGTCATGTACAGATGTGAGAGTTGGACTATAAAAAAGGCTAAATGCCACAGAATTGATATTTTTGAATCATGGTGCTGGAGAAGTCCCTTGGACTGCAAGAAGATCAAACCAGTCAATCCTAAAGGAAATCAACCCTGAATATGCATTTAAAGGACTGATGCTGAAGCTGAAGCTCTAATACTTTGACCAACTGATACGAAGAGCTGATTCGCTAGAAAAGGCCCCGATTCTGGAAAAGACTGAATTCAAAAGGGGAAGGGGTGCCAGAGGAAGAGGCGGTTAGAGAGCATCCCCAACTTGATGGACATGAATTTGACCAGACTTCAGGAGACAGTGAAGGACATGGAACCTGGCATGCTGTGTCCATGGGGTCGCAAAAAGTTGGACACAGCTTATCAACTGAACAGCAACACCCCAGAGAATGTCCTGATGCCTCTTTCTGGTTTTCTCACCCCATCTCCCCACCTGATGAACCGCTTTATTCTTATTAATATTTCTAATTGCAAATTTTATCTGTTCTTAGACTTCATGTAACTGGAATAATAAAGTGTGTACTCTTTCCGTCCGTATTCTTTAACTCTTTATAATATTTTGTGGATTCAGTCATGATGCTCTGTCTATCATTAGTTTGTTCTTTATTGATGTATAGTAATTCTGTTATTTTAATAAGCCATAATTTATTTATTTTCCTATTGATATTCTTTGAGTTGTTTCTATTTTTGGACTTTTGTGAATAAGGTTGTTATAAACCTGCTTATACAACCTTTTCTTTCTTTGTGTATATATGTTTCCATGTATCTAGCAAGGGTAGATATATGTTTAACTTTATAAGAAATTGCCAAATATTCTTCTAAATAGTTAAACTCCCACCAATAGTATGCAGAGATTCATTTGTTCCACACTTTTTACCAACATTAGTGTGGCTAGTCTTTTGTAGTGTGAGTTGTAGTGATTCTAGTGGGTATGAAATGCTATCTCAATATTATTTTGATTTTTACTTCCCTAATTATAAATAATGTTGACAGCTTTTCTCATATCTATTAGTTTTTTATATATCTATAATAAAGTCTAATAATACTTTATAATAAGTTTTGTGTTTTGCCATTTTAGTATGATATTTATTATTTGACTGAGTAGCAGAAATGCTTTATGTATTTATGAGTCATATGCATTTATATTTTCTAGTTTGTGGCTATCTTGTTAATTTCCTTAATATTGTATTTTGGTAGACACAGATTTTCAATTTTGATAAAGTTTAGTTTACCATCTTTTTTTCTTTTATAATTAGTGGCTTTTGGGTCCTATCCAAAGAATCTTCTTTGGATCACATAGATATCTGATATTTTGTTCCAGAGTCTCTTTGGTTCGAATGAGATAGGGATTGAGGTTTTTTTTTTAGTACTGATATGTAGTTGTTTTAGTATCATTAGACTCTCCTTTCCTCATGAATGACTGGCAGGTTGGTTGAAATGAATGTTTGAATTTTATTGTGAACATATATAAATATAAATTTGATTATAGTCTTAATAGAAACACATAGTCTAAAAAGGATGTTCAAGCTAATTAATTTCTTCCCAATTTATATGTACTTATTTTAGGAGAGATCAGAGTGGCCTTTGTCCTTTATAACAACTTGGGTCCTTATTTGTCCACGGAGAATGCCAGCATGAAGTTAGGAACAGAGGCCATGTCCACCAATCATTCTGTTATTGTCAATTCTCCAGTTATCACAGCAGCCATAAACAAAGAGTTCAGTAATAAGGTTTACTTGGCTGATCCTGTGGTGTTCACTGTTAAACACATCAAGGTAAGAAAATGTTTATCCATATTATATTTGTTGTAAGTATGAAGTGTATTAATTTCCTATCATTGGCACTATTATTTGACCTAAAGAAATTCATTTTCTATAAAATAGTGACTTTTTTCCACCAAAGTGAGGGAGGAGAGTAATTCCTGTATGTGTATATCAATTCAGTTCAGTTCAGTCGCTCATCATGTCTGACTCTTTGCGACCCTATGGACTGCAGCATGCCAGGCTTCTCTGTCCATCACCAGCTCCTGGAGCTTCCTCAAACTCATGTCCATCGAATCAGTGATGCCATCCAACCATCTCATCCACTGTTGCCCCCTTCTTTTCCTGCCCTCAATCATTCCTAGCATTAGGGTATTTTTGATTGAGTCAGTTCTTTGAATCAGGTGGCCAAAGTATTGGAGCTTCAGCTTCACCTTCAGTCCTTCCAATGAATATTCAGGACTGATTTCCGTTAGCATTGACTAGTTTGATCTCCATGCAGCCCAAGGGACTCTCAAGAATCTCTCTAACATCACAGTTCAAAGGTAGCAATTAGGTAAAAGTATTTATAGATGGATTTATAAATGCTTCTCTGGAATTAAAAAGAACTAGCAATATGTTCAGTGGAACTGGGCATAGCTACACTCTGACATTACAAGTAATTATGTCCTTTGTGTGTAGATATAATTTTATGCATATGCAAAGATTGTAATGTAAATTGAACAAAAAATTTTAAAAACTGTTCTCTCAGAGAGGCTTTCCTGGTGGCTCAGATGGTACAAAATCTGCCTGCCATGTAGGATTCCCAAGTTTGATCCTGGGGTTGAGAAGATCCCCTGTAGAAGGGAATGGCAACCCATAGCTCTTAGAATACTAAGTATCTTTGCCTGCAGAATTTCATGGACAGAGAAGTCTGGTGGGCTCCAGTCCATGGTGTTGCAGAGAGTCAAACAAGACTGACCAATTTTCACTTTCACTTTCTTTCACTTTCACTTTTATCATCTCAGAAGTTTATTATATACAGCAATTCTTTGCTTTGTAGGTTATATTAATTGATGTGATTCTGAGATAATACTAGTATCCCTTCAATATTATTTTTAAGTGAGTTCACCTCTAATCAAAGGGAGTAAATAATATATATTCATATATTCAAATTTATTTAGAATTGATAAGCCCCACTTAATATGAAAACATTGGTAGACACCTCCAGAAATATTGGAACATAGTGTGAAGTTTTGTTAGATGTAAATAAAATGCCTACTTAATTTGCATGGTCATAAAGTATTTATTGGCTTTATTGATTTTTGTTTTCTGTAGCAATCTGAGGAAAACTTCAATCCTAACTGTTCATTTTGGAGCTATTCCAAACGCACAATGACAGGTTACTGGTCAACCCAAGGCTGTCGGCTCCTGACAACAAATAAGACACATACTACATGCTCTTGTAACCACCTAACCAATTTTGCAGTACTGATGGCACATGTGGAAGTTAAGGTAAGATATATAGCATGTGGTGAAATTCCTTAGCATACAATTAAGACATTAACTATAAAAAGTCTTACCTCTGCACCTATCTTGGAGAGTATTCTAACTTTTGTAGTAATTCTATTCAAGAACTCTCTGATGTTCAACCCATACCCTAGTTAATGATTCAAAGAACTTTTTTTTTTCTATTATCAATATAGTCCATAATATTGAAATCTGGTATGAAGCACAATTTTGCTGATAAAATTTCCCCTGTTATTCCCTCCTTTTATTTTGTATGAATAAATGTCATACCATATCCTCATGACCTGGGCAAGATAGGACCTCAGCACTACAGGTCAGGACAACGGAGTTAGGCAGCTAGAATCTGTTAGGCTGAAGACTAAGGAGCCATGCATGAGATCAAATACTCTCAAAATGAGTATTGGGAAAATAGCCATTAAACACATTGTAATAATGGTTCTGCCCATTCATAAGACACAATTCTAAGGAAAAAATTCAGGTAATAGATTGTTTCCAAAATCATAAACATGGCTAACTTGGATGCATCAGTCTCTCTAGGTGACCAGTTGTCATGGAAGGCAGGATGAGTATTTAGATTTCAGATATAGTTAGGATATAAAAATATAAAGGGATTATTAACTTGGCTATAGATTGATAGATGGGTTTGCAACAAGAAATTATGACTGTGAATTCTCTTCTCATTTCCTGATGTCAATAAAAATAGAGGAAGTATCATTGTCCAATACATCTTAAAACATAAAAACCATGGCAAAGATTTTATCTACCTGATATCATCGATCCAATAATTTTATCCAAAATTGTCTTTGGCTCTGTTGAAGTTAAAAATGATGAAGGTGTCTTAGAGGAAAACCAAATCCAAGCCCACTCAGCACCTAATAAATTACCTTAGCTGTGTCAACACAGTCAAATTTGGTCTTTTAAGGACTACAGATGGTATTTTGTCAGAACTTCACAAATTGATCAAGCTAAGCAAGGTTGGCTACACTAACAAATATTAGATTTAAACCTGGAATGTATTCGTATGACTCTAGGATTCTCTCTTTTCAGCTTAGGGTATAAATTCAAACACAGGAAAATGGATCATATTTCAAGTCACAAGAAAATTTTTTACTCAGTTCATTGCAATAACAATCTCTACTCAGTCCATTACACAAGACTCTTGACTGTGACCATTATTGTGTGTCAAAAAGAGATAAAATAGATGGAAATCAGTATTTTCCTTCAGCAGTCAGTAACAAAGTATGCCCTGGATTTCTTATATCACAATCTCTTGCAGTTTTGAGAGTCATTCTCATCTTGATCATGCAACATTAATTTGACACTTGAAAAATGAGAAGCAAACAGAATGATCATCCCTGAAAGTCCAAAAGGAAACACAGCAACCAAACTTACATTAGACTAATGTCTAGAAATGAAGGCTAGTGCATTCATGCACAGTGAGATATGCAATAGCCAGTTAGAATAGATATTTACATTGTCTAGTTATCAGTTTCTAATTCCACAGGAAAATCTATAAAGAAAACAAAATTGCATTGAAGAATTTTGCTTAATGAGCTTGGAAAGAGCAAGAAGAATTAGCTGAGTCTAGATGCTGTTGCTATTAATCTGTGGTGCCCTGATGTATCTTCACTCCAGGGCTCTACCGATGTACTGAGTTGCTCTTTTCTATCATCTGTATTATCCTTGCAATTCATTCAGTACTTCCTTCTTTCTTTTAAAGACTACTTTTCAAGCACCTAAGTAAAGATATTGATGTGTTACACAATGAAAGTGAAAGTGAAGTTGCTCAGTGGTGTCCAATTCTTTGCGACCCCATGGACTGTAGCCCACCAGGCTCCCCCGTCCATGGGATTTTCCAGTCTAGAGTACTGGAGTGGGTTGCCATTTCCTTCTCCAGGAGATCTTCCTGACCCGGGGATTGAACCTGGGTCTTCTGCATTGTAGACAGATGCTTTACCATCTGAGCTACCAGGGAAGCCTCAGGTTCTCAATAAATGTAACTCTCTCCTTCTGATCTGCCAGAGGTACCACAAGATTCTAGCATTCCAGTGGAACTTAGGTCATTCATGATGCTTACATTTTTAAGGGGATGGGAAGGGCAGAGAAATGAAGCTTCAGTCATAATTGTGATAAGCCTTATAATAGATACCTACACTATGAGTTAGGACACAGGAGGGGTTCACCTAGGGCAGGACTGCTCAGAGAGGGCTTATCAAAAAAGTGACCTGTGCTGAAGAATAAGTAGGATGAATTTGGTAAGGTAACCTGTGTAAAATTTGCATCAGCCACATTCTTGGAACACTTTGCCTTGGGTACACTTTTCTCTCTTATCTCTTTCCTCCCTCAGCAACTGGTCCTTTCGAGCTTCCTTTGCTGGCGCCTCCCCATCTCCACAGCCTCTTGTTGTTTCCCTGGCCAGGAGTGTAATCCTAGTGGTACTCCAAGCACTATCCATTTCTCTGTAGTTGATCTCATATGGTGGTATGCTGTAACCATCATCCCATGATCCCCAGATTCTATCTCCATTTCTTAACTCCACACTCCTAGATTCAATAGTTAACTTGATAAATCCATCTAGGCTTGTAATCAGTGTCACAATTCCAGAACAACACTTGTGGTGTTTTCCTATCAGTCTTTTCTTTCTTAGTAAATGGTTACTCTGTCCTTCCAAAAGCTCTGGAATAACCCATCTCCACGAAATACTGTGGAAAGTAAGAGAAAGGAGGTCACTGGCCTCAGCCAATTTACAGTTTATCAAGGGAGAAAAGTGTTAAGACTGACTTTTGAAGGAAAGGGATGCACTAAAGTGACAAGAGGTCTTCCCAGGTGGTGCTAGTGGTAAAGAACCCACCTGCCAGTGCAGGAGACATAAGAACCATGGGTTCGATTCCTGGGTTGGGAAGATCACCTGGAGGAAGGCATGGTAACCCACTCCAGTATTCTTGCCTGGAGAATCCCATGGTCTGGAGTCCATAGGGTCGCAAAGAGTCAGACACAACTGAAGTGACTTAGCACGCACACACATGAAGTGATAATATTACTGAAACCTACCTCTGTGCACCAGTACCAAACTGGATCTCAGATGCAGAATTTTGGGTGATTTAGGAAAGAACATTGCTTTACCAAGTAAAGGGGGCCACTGCAGGCTAATGCCCTCAAAACTGTGCATTCCCCACCTGAGGGGCTGTTGTGAGGAATCTTATGTTTAGAGTTTGGGGGCAGGGTTGCTGATAAGGATGAGGGTGCATACGGGGCCCGCATTCCTTCAATCCAGAGGTCCTCTGGCATCAGGTGGTCTTTGGATGAGCTTCTGTGGTTTCTGAGGTTCTTCTGTGTCTTTCTGTCTGCAACGAAGGAGGCTTCGTTAAGTTACCAACTTCCCTTTGGTGGGGGTTTTGGCTCTGTACAGAACTCAAAGACATTACTATGTATGTGCCTTAAGGAGGAACCAGAACCCTTTCCCAAGGCTGCACTATTATTTCTTTTTTTTTTTTTTTAATTTAATTAATTTATTTTTTTTTTCTTATCACAACCATAGTGTATCTTTTTTTTTTTTTTTTTTTTTTTACATGTATTGACTGCTCCTTGCTTGTCTATTCATCTCCTCCCTTTTCTCATTAGCAACTGTTTGAATCTGTCCTTTGGAACTCAAGGAAGAGCTTGGAACTCAAGGCTGAATGAAGCCTGTTTCCTATAAGAAATGGGGGACATGGAAAGACTTTATTGCCTGGGAACCCCACAGGGTCCTGAGCAGCCCTACACAGCTAATTAACTACTTTTGAGTTTTCTCTGCTTCTCTTGTCTATGGAAACATTTGATTTTCTTCTCTTTTAGATACAAAAGTAACCATTATGAAAGTTTATATAATACAGTTTTATACCAAACTGTGGTAGCATATATGGCATTTTTTAAAACTTTTCAGTATTGGAATCACGTGCAGATTTGTCTGCTGTTCAGTAAAATGTTGAATACACTAAATTCAAATGTCTGTCTCTTCTCCTACTAGTAATTCTCTTTGTGAACAATCTGTATGGGAGGAGTATTTTAGTTTGCAGGGTCATAGGTTTCAAACTAATTGACTAACATTTCTACTGTGGTTTTTGAGAACACAGTAACAAATGCTTTAGAAATCACCCATAGCTTTTTCCTCTACTGAAATGATAATTCTTTGGGAGAGAATTTAAAAAGTCCCCCTGATCATTCCTGTCAGTTCAACTTGATGCCAATTTTTATTATGTTTAAAAGGCTTCATTTTCCTTAGTTTGATGCTTGCATCTCTCTTTCCCCCTCTCTTTTCTCTTTAGCTTAGTATATACTATTGTTTTACCCCAACATTACCCCAGTCCAAGTATAGGTATTATTTTGCTGTTTCAGTACATTGTATTTCTTTTTAAATTTAGTATTGATTTAAAACAATTTGAACAATCTCAAACAATTTTGAAATTTTTAACTTCATACCATGGATTCTGTGTGTCAGATATTTTATAACTAGACTTTCTAGGTTAGAAGGAAATATACTGTAGGACTCTGCAGTGGGGCATGAAGAAAAGTACTTGCTTTTCAAAAAGAGTAATTTTATTTATTTATTTATTTTTTCAAAAAGAGTAATTTTATTTTTAAAGTCCAAAAGAAAAGTTGAGTTTAAGAGATGATTTTATTAGTGAAAAATAGAATGTTTAATGTATGTTGAGAAAGATTATACACTTTCATTCCCAGTTTTTTTATTCTCATTTTATATATTGTCATCTGTACTGTAATGGGTTTGAGGTGAAGGTGTGGATGGTGACTGCAGCCATGAAAATAAAAGATGCTTCCTCCTTGGAAGAATAGCTATGACAAACCTAAACAGTGGATTAAAAATCAGAAACATCACTTTGCTGACAAAGGTCCCTCTAGTCAAAGCTGTGATTTTTCCAGTAGTCATGAGTATATGTGAAAGTTAGACCATAAAGAAGGCTGAGCACTGAAGAATTGATGCTTTTGAA